CCCCCCCAGCGAGTCCCTCATTCCCAGTGACCTCCTACACCCCGGGACTCCCGCATTCCCTGGAACTCCGCATTCCTTTCACCCCCTCCCCATTCCCAGCGATCCCAACACACCCCTCCACTTCCCACGAACCTCCTCCCCCCCAAATCCCCGCTGCGGACCCCAGCCCCCAACCCCTCCTTCCCCTTTCCCCCCCGTTTCTCCCTCCCCGTTGCCATCCCCGTCCCTCACCGCGGAAGAAGTCGGCTCCGCGCGGTGCCGCAGTGCGGAGGGCTCTGCTCGGACACCCCTCTTGTCGGGGGGTCCCCCCGTGTCCCCCCCATGGGGGTCTCCCCCCCCCCCGCCGCCCTTTGCCCCAACACGCGTCCGCACCGCAGCATGGCCACGCCCCTTTCACCGTGAACACGCCCCTTTCCGCCGTAACCACGCCCTCTTTCCCCCTTAGCCACGCCCCCGACTCATTATAGCCACGCCCCCCCCTCAGCCCCGCGCTGGCGTTCCCGGATTTAATTCCAATAATCCAGCTGTGCGTGGAAGGCCAGTTCCAGTCGAAGCAGTAAAACTAACACCCGGCTTCGCCTGACGAAGCAGGCTCGGTGTCGAACCCGCGACTGGGCCTCGCCCCCTTTCCGCGCGGCCACGCCCCTCTTGGCCCCGCGCGCGCAGGGCTAAGGGGGCGTGGCTTCCGGCGGAAGGGCGGGGCAGAGCGACGTGTGCGCCCGGCCGGGCCCGGCGCCGCCATGCTCGACTTCTTCACCATCTTCAGCAAGGGCGGCCTCGTCCTCTGGTGCTTCCAGGGCGTGCGCGGGCCCGCCGCCACCGCCCCCGTCAACGCGCTCATCCGCTCCGTGCTCCTGCGGGCCCGGGGGGGGGGGGGAAACGGGGGGGGGGGGGGGGGGGGGGGGGGGGAGTGGGCGAGACCACCTGCCTGTTTGAGGAGGGGGGGAAATGGGCGAGACTACGGGTCTGGAGGGAGGGGTGGGATCAGCTGTGGGGAGGTTGTTGGGGTTGGGAGCGTGTGGGGTAGAGGGAGAATAAGGGAGACCGTGTACCTGGTTGGGGGGGGACTGGGACCACCCACCTGGGGCGGGGGAGGAGTGGGACCACTTATGGGGACGGTGATTGGAGAGGACCACCCGCGTGGGGAGGGGAAGGGGGTCAGGTGAGCCCACACAGCTGGCGAGGGGAGGAGGGGACGGGGACTGGGACCACCTAATTGAGGAGGAGGATTGAGTGGGACCACCTAACTGGGGAGGGTGATGGGGCAGGACCACCCGTGGAGAAGAAGAATAAGGGGGACCATGTACCTGGTTGCTGGGGGGGGGGGGGGGGGGGGGGGGGGGGTGGCGGGGGGGGGGGAAGGGGCCCACGCGAATGGGGGGAGGAAGGGGTGACCCCACGGGTCTGAGGGGGGGGGTGGGATCACCTATGGAGAGGGTGATGGGGTTGGGACCATCTGGGAAGAGGGAGAATAAGGGAGAACATGTACCTGGTTTGGGGGGGGGGGAACTGGGACCACTCACCTGGGGCAGGGGGAAGGGTGGGATCACCTAATTGGGGAGGGTGATTTGGGAGGATCACCTAAGTGAGCCCACACAGCTGGTGAGGGGGGAAGAGGGGACAGGGACTGGGACCACCTACCTGTTGGGGTGGGGGAGGAACAGGTGGGACCACCTGTCTGGAGGGAGACATGGGCACAATCACCTCTGGGGGTCGGTGGCATCACCCAGTTGAGGGGGAAGAATAGGGTCACCTCCCCAGAGGGGTGTGGGATCACCTGTAAGGCATGCTGTGGACCACTTTTGGGGAGGGGGGATGGCAGAGATGATGAGGGGGGGTCTCCATGCTGCTGGCACCCCCCTTCTGACAGCTCCTCTCCCCCAGGAGCGAGGAGGCAACAACTCCTTCACCCATGAGGCCCTCACGCTCAAGTACAAACTGGACAACCAGTTTGAGCTGGTGTTTGTGGTAAGAGACCCTCCCTCAGGCACCCCCAGCATGGCAGGGGAGTCCCTCCAGCCTCCTGGGGTGCCCTCTGACCTGAGTGAGGGGGATTATCCCAGAACAGAGAGGGGAGAATTCCCAGTGTGTTGTGGTTTGGGCAAACAGCTGTTCCCACTGCCTGGGGCTGGACCTCGGCTCCCAGACTGGTTGGCTCCTCTGGCTCTGGGATTTTGGGGGGTATGGTGAGAGTCTTGCCATTCCTGGCTCTGGGAGGGTCTCAGAGGGGCCGAGCAGTGCCCCCAGCACAGCCAGGCTCCCCACGGAGGGTGGGCACGGGTGTCTCCCAGCCCTTCACCACTGCAGGAGTAGCTTATTTTAATCGTCTGCAACAGGATTAAAACTAATCAAACCTCAAATAGAACCTGCAGCCTCGTGAAACTTCACTTTTTCCAGAGCTATTTAAAAATAACCCCAGAAATGTGTTGCCCCCTTCTCTTTACAGAGCATTTAACACTTTCCCTTTCACTCTTATCTCCATAAATCCACACAAGCTTCCCTGTGGACTTAGAGATAAACAAAAGGTTCTCTGCCCTTGTGCTACGTGTCTTTGTTGCCACAAGACAGCCTGTGCGTGTTGGTGCTGCTTTTGGGCTGGTTTTTACCTTTTTGGGGCCATTTTAAAGGCTTGGGAAAGCAGAGCAGAAAGCGCAGCCTGGAGCTTGCCTACTCTGAGTTAAACAGAGAGGTTTTTGCTCCCTTGCTGCTGTTAAATGAGCTGGGAGTGCAGTGTCTGTTGGCTGTGCCCCTTGGCAGGTGGGTTTCCAGAAGATCCTGACTCTAACCTACGTGGACAAGTTGATAGACGATGTCCACAAGGAGTTCAGAGACAAGTACCGCAACGAGTTCCAGCAGAAAGGGGCCCTGGGCCTCCTAAATGGCACCTTTGATTTTAAAGATGACTTCATGCGCCTCCTCCGGTACCACAGCCTGGTTTTTGTGTTAAATTTCTGGTTTGAGCAGAGTTGGGAGGGGGAAAAAGAGCCGGAATCCAGGCTAATGGGTCACCTTCCCACAGGGATGCAGAGGAGAGCAGCAGAGTCCGAGCTCCCACGGTAATGAAGACGTTTGAGCAGTCTCTGAAATCCCAGAAGACTGTCAAGTGTATGATCGAAACCCGGGGGGAGAAACCAAAGGAGAAGGTCAAGAACAAGAAGAACAAAGGTTCCAAAAAAGAGGGTGAGTTCATGGGCAAGATAAATTGGGGGAGGGGGGGAATATTCCAGAGCTCTGTGTTCCAGCCTGTGCTTTCCCAGCCCGCTTGGAGCTGGTCTAAGCTTGTGTGGGGACTCTTCCCATCAGGAACTGAAGCTGCTGCAGCACCCAGTAAAGGATCTGGGGGTGACAAACAGCCCTCGGCAGCAGGGGAGAAGGAGGAGCTGACCAAGGATGAAATCCTGCAGAAGAACCGGGAGGAATTCTTCAGGAGACACATGAAAGCCGGGGAGAAGTCCAAGTGCGTGATGAGAGCACTGTCAGTCTGCCTGTGCTTTGAACCAGACCGTGGCTGAGTCTCTCCTTTTGGTGACCCCTGGAAGTCAGACCTTGCTTTCCTGGATCTTATTTCCCTTTTCCTTATTTCTCTCCTTGCTGGAAAGACTGGGAGAGGGCAGCTGGGGGTTCTGAAGGGGAAACAGAGCTTGGGAGAGACCCAGAAACTCAGTATGTGCCTGGGAGAGGTCCAGACCTGTCTTTAGTGAGCAGATAGCAGCGATGCATCAATGCCTGGCTTGAGGGGAACTGGTGCCATACAGGGTTAAAGTTCAGAAATATAAACTCTGGGGACCAAGTCAGCCAAGTTTAGCCTTAATTTCTGCCTTTTTGGGTAATGCAGGCTTTTATTTTTCTGAGGGGGCGATGGCTCTGCTCCCCTGCCCTGAACACAAGGCGTGTCCTGCTCTTTTGTTTCCTCAGATCTCCCAAGCCTGACGCACAGAAGGAGAAGGGGAAGAAGCCCCGGGTGTGGGATCTGGGGAACTCTAATGCCAAAGTACTCGATTACAGTAACTCTGCTACCAACGGCAGCGCCGAGGCCTGTCCTGTGGAGGAGTTTGACCCCGACGTGGTGAGGGAAAGTCAGGGCACTCACCATGTTGTTCTGGGCTCAGCTGGGCGTTGTGAACCCAGCCTGGTCTCCACGGCTGGATGAGAAGGGATCAAACAGAGATCTTGGCACTCAGCCTCTAAAGCTGCTTCTCCCCCTCACAGGCCCTGGGGGACAAGAATCGGGAGCCCGGGCGCCTCTATGACCTGGAGTATGAGAGTGAGGACGAAGCTGAGGAGGAGAAGGTTGTCCAGAACACTTCGAAACCCAGGTAGAGGCTCCTGCAGCCTCTGCTTGTCACATGGGCCTTGATTTCTCTCCTGTGACTCCTCCTCCAGTCTAACCAGTAATGCAGGAAGGGCAAACCAGTGTGTTTGTCCGCTTGCAACTTGCTCTCAAACCTCAAGGTACCTCCTCTGCTTCTCTGCAGCGCGAAAAAGGGTGGCCTGGGGGGCATGTTTGGCATGCTGAAGGGGCTGGTGGGCTCCAAGAGCTTGACGAGAGAGGACATGGACCCTGTGCTGGAGAAGATGAAGGATCACTTGATTGGTACGTCTGGATTTGCAGTGACCTGGTTCCTCGTGCTCTTTTGGGTGGGCCCCGGTGTGGGTGACACTGATGGTTTGGGATGTTCCTGCCCACAGGAACTGTAGTGGATTGCTGTCTCACCTCGTGACAGTGCAGCACAAGGGGGGCAGTGGTCAGGTCTGGTGGGGATCCTGAGCTCCATGCTTCTGTTGATGCTGCTGTCTGGCACGTGTAACCTGGGCAGTGCTGACTCCCCGCTCTCTCTATCAAAGCTAAAAACGTGGCAGCTGAGATCGCCGTGCAGCTCTGCGAGTCCGTGGCCAAGAAGCTGGAAGGGAAGGTGATGGGAACGTTCACCAGTAAGTGTCCGTGTGGCCTCCTGCTTGGGAGCGATCTGGAGCTCGGGAGCGTTCCCCAGGCGTGACTGCTCCTCTTTCCATCCCCCCCACCCCTCCCCAGCGGTGACCTCGACAGTGAAGCAGGCGCTGCAGGAGGCCCTGGTGCAGATCCTGCAGCCCCAGCGCCGCGTGGACGTGCTGCGGGATGTCATGGACGCCCAGCGCCACCGCCGGCCCTACGTCGTCACCTTCTGCGGCGTCAACGGCGTCGGGAAGTCCACCAACCTGGCCAAGGTAGGGCAGGACCCTCCTGGATCACGGGAGCAGTGTGATGGGGTCAGGCTGTGGCTGCCAGCATGTTTGATTTGCTGCCACCCGCAGATCTCGTTCTGGCTCATCGAGAACGGCTTCAGCGTCCTCATCGCCGCCTGCGACACCTTCCGCGCGGGCGCCGTGGAGCAGCTCCGCACCCACACCCGGCGCC